CATGGCCCCTGGCTCCATGGCTGGATTGCAGGAGCACAGGGCCCATGCCAGTACCCCAGGGCCAGGAACAGGAGACGGGGGGTGCGTGCGTGCATGCGTGCGTGCGTGCGTGCAGTGAGGGAGGGAGGGAGGGAGGAAGGGAAGGGGAGACTGTGTGTGGGCGTGCTCAGTGAGGGAGGGAAATGTGTGTGCCTCATATCCACTTGTACCTCACATATCCACACACCAACAGCCCCCCACAAACCTATACCCACCCCTCCATACCTCCCACCCTCCCTCTCCACAATATACAAGAGTAAGACTTCATTTAAGCTATTGTGCAATCACCTCTATGTACACTACACAAACACATGTAAATCAGGACAAAAATATTTTTTTAAATCAAATGAATGATGTTGTAGCTTTTTTATTTTTAGATAACTGTATTCTGGGTTTTGCTATTTTTCTGGTTCTGAGATGGCAAAACCCCTTGACCACTTGCCTAAACTCGGTAATTGACCCTCCGCCTGAAATAATTGCCCTCCCCTGCTTAAAAGTATGTATAAAACCAGAATTTGACCCTATATGAATTACCCCAGGTCACCTAGTAAGTCAATATAGGATCAGGATTAGAAACCAAGGGATGTTTTTCCTAGTTTGTCCTCTACTTTCACTGGACAATACTCCTTCCAGCAAGTTACTGTGACTGTACTCCAGATACCTTGGCTAAAGAAGATTATGGTAACTTATTGTGGAGGGCTATTGCCCTTCCACTCTGATCATTTAAAATATACCCTGCCCATATTCCATCCTCAACAAACATTTATGAAAAAGTATATATTCAGACAGGGCATTTTTTCTACTCACATTTATGCGACAGAAGTATATCAAAGGAATCTGCCCATCTTGTAGCTTCCTCTGTTGATAGTCTTCTAAAAAAATGAAAGAAGGAAGTAATAATCATTCATTATTTATGCAAAGAGCCCTACTACAAACCGCTGAGGAAGTTGCCTGGAAAGCTTCTAGGCTTGAAAAGAGTTTTATTAGACCATGACTTTGGATTAGCCAAGTAAAGAGTCTGTCCCAAGAGTTATAGCAGCCCTAGCATATGTTGATACAGGAGCCTACAGCAGTGGTTAGCTGTAATGTCCAGGTACCCAGTTGGCTGCATTCAACTGAGCTGCCTGTTGTGGACTTTAATCACAAGACTTAGAACATCAATTAAATGCTTCTGCTATTGTAGGTCAAAATAAGGCTATAGAGTGAAGTTGCTCTGATCATCTCACGACAGGGCTGACCACTCAGAATTATATTTGTAATTATAGTAGGTCAAATTCCATCCTCAGATATGTGCACACAGTTCTCTCTTACATCAGTCAGGCTGGACTGCATATCCTGTCTGAGAAGAGAATCTGCTCCAGTATATGTATGATCCAGGTATTGTCTAAGAAAGTTGTGCTTTTTCAAGGTCTTAGGTTTCCTTCCTATTTTTCCGGCTGCAGGATTGGGACTCAACGCCTAAAAAACACAGTAAAAGAAGGGAAATAAAAAATAGAAAGGGTAAGCAGGAAAGGTACATTTATACTTACTTCAAAGCCCTGTTGGGCTTGTCAGGAAGAATAGCTGTGAAATCATTGCATGAGTCTGATTTGTGAGATAGGCAGCCCAAGCGAGTCCTCATCCCTCTGTTCCTGCAGTCAACATGGGGGAGTAGGGTGTGGATGGGGGAGAACCAGAGAAGATGACAGTTAGAAATCTAGCTGGAAATATGTAATGTAAGATCTCACTGGCTCTGTATCTAATGAGACCTCCATGTAGGGACTCTAAGGATATAGCCTTTCTGAGAGTAGCTGGGATGGGATTTTTGTTTCGGCAGATAGAGCTGAAATATCCATCCCACTTTAAGCCCTTGCTCAGAAGGGGGTCTGCTGGTAAGAGTGGTGAACTGAATTGAAAAGCTACAGGCTTAGAATGGTTCCCTGTGAAGCTCTGTGCTAAAGGTTAGAAGGGGAAACTGGAAAAGCATGCCAAAAATCAGTCCCAGCTGTTTCCCAGTACAAGAATGGCACAAATATCATGACCACTCACATGTAGGGAGGCAGAAAGGATGATAAATTGGTTCTATGTGTCATTTTATAATACACAGTCATAACAGCCTACTGGGATTTTGGACTCTGTAGACTTTGTGGACTCAGGATGACCAGAGCTAGTTACCGCAATAAATACATATTTATCCATGCAGGGAATCACTTTATCGTGTCTTCTTCTAAGACATGTTCAGCTCTCCACACACCCATCACATCCCCACCAATCCAGTGTTTAGGAGACACATGCACAACATTGTAGCAATTGCATAACAATTTGACTGGGAGGACACAGGCACCAGGTCATCAGAAAGAAAGCTAAAAGCAGTCACACATATAGATGCATCATTCTATACTGGCACATTCTATATTGTTTTACATGGTGTTTAAAGGAACAAGAAATACATCATTCATTATCCCTTCTCCAGCACAAAGACTGGAGGATTCTCCCTACAGTAAATGAGACCATCTTCTTCAGGTGATGAGAAGAGGAAAATTCAGTAATCTAGTCCACACTCTTCTGGTATTGAACCCCGTCCTTACCTAGAGGGACCCTCTTCACAGATTCACAGAAGTTTCTCTTAACTCTACTGCAAAACAGATGGACAATGGTTTTTGTGACTGCAGAGGGGAGCAAAACATGTTTCTGTTCCGTATATAATTTCTTTGCAGAACGCTTAACATTAGTCCATGACCCAATTTTCATCACGTCCAGTTTTTCCTTTCTTTTTTCTCCCTCAGATAGTTTACATTATAGCACATTTTCATATAATTTTAGAGCAGATTAAATGTTAATTGAATGCAATGAGTAAATCTCCCTGATGCATCGTGAACATCTTGGAGAATTTTACTATTGCAAAATATCAAAATCTTTAATAATAGGAATTATAATTGCACCAAACTATGGACCTGTGACCAAAGGTCTTGGGATAAAACTCCACAAGGATTGGAAACATTGATGCAGAAACATTACATACAAAAGGGCATGCTCTTCTTCTATAACTATATGCATGATTCTGGTGCTCTTTGTGTGTATTCTACGACCTTCTTGGTACCTTTTACAGCAGGACTCAACCCTCCTCAAAAACCTTTGTCCTTTCCTGCTCTGCCTGGTTGATTGTTCAGCAGAGGTGTGACATGCATTATCTCAACACCACTTAAACTTCTCTGATGTCTAAGATCATCAGGGAATAACAGTACAGTACATGGAAGACAGAGACACTGCAGCAAAAAAGGGGCTTGTCATTGGTGGAACGCTGACCTGACTTCCAAGACTGCACATGGGAGGGAAAATAAAAAAGCAGGATCCAGGGGAGGTGGAGAAGAAAAGGCAGGCAGGAAGAGCTACACTGCATTGAGCTTAAAGTCTTATCAGACAAGGGAGAAGGCAACAAGATAGGAAAGGGTGAAAAATGCATTATTTCTTTTTAGTTACCTCCATGGAATCAGCAAGGCAGCCATGCAGGCATCCGGTTACCAGTTAACCCTGTAATTGTCTGGTTTGTAAGGCAGTCAATGCTGTTTGCAGGAGATAAGATCGCGGGGAGAAAGGATTTACTGTTTCATATCCTGTCACTTAAAATCAAAAAAGTCCTCTGCAAAAGGAGGGGCACCTGTTCTCAACACATTTAATTTTCTTGCCTCCTAAAATGGGGTGTGTTGAATTTTCAGTGGAAGCTGTTCAAGAGTCGAAAGTTGATCATAGCAGGCAGTGCTGTCCCTCCTTTAAACTGCTAGGACCGAGGTTTAAGTCCAACTTCAGGTCTAAGTGAAATAAGCCAGGCAGTCTCAGCTCACCACGGAGTGACAAGATTTGACATTATGGTACATGCCATTCAACACCATTGGAAGTCTCTCCACAATGGGTACAGCTCAGGACTGAACTGGTTAAGGAGACCAAACTACCTCTTGCCCCTGTCATCCCTCCACGTCATGGTTGGTGTTACTGGCACTTCAACTACCCTGTAAATAAAATAATATGAAGACTTCACGCTTCTGTGGATACTGGTTCTCTATCTATCACAGGCTTAAGCAGTCGCATAAAAAATGCAAGCATAATTTCTGGTGTATCCAACCTCAGGGAATCTTGGAGTCTGCCTGCCTGCATACAGCAGGGACAGAAATGCACAATCTGTGAAAGTCTGAGGGGAAGGAGAAAAGGACAAAGAAGGTGGGCAGGGATCTTAGGCTTCAGCACAGCTGCTGCTCATTTCTTTGCCTGCTGAATGAATCTCATTCCACAAAGAAAGGCAAGGGTGTACCAGGCAGGAAACTGGTGGGACTCAGAGTGGGATGGACCTGCACTTGGCTTACCGCCTCATCCCAATAGAGGGGAGGCATCTGACTACCACCCTATCCTTTTACCCTTAAGGGCACTTGTACATGTGATGGGGGTTTAGTCCTTCAGGGTTGTAGTCTATGCCCCCTAAATTGAAACAGTGGGTTTTATTTTTCTGTCACTGTATACACATCATTGTCCTGGTGGCTGCAGGTGCCCACTGAAAGCAGAAGTGGCAAGGGGCCTGATCCTTTTTTTTCAGTGGAGCCTGCCCACCTCTCCCACGGAAGGGGGGTGAGCTGCCAGCAGGCCAAGTGGCCCCTGAGCTGCAAGGGGCCCTGGTCCTTTCCTCTGTGGTGACAGTGCCCCCTGGGGCCAGCTGGGGGCGCTGCTAGTGGGCCAGGTGCTGCCCCAGCTCAGAGTCATCTGATCCAACTATTTGCTCCCAGTGCCCCGTGCACTGTCCCTGCTGCCTTCTCCAGCCACCAGCAAAACCCACCTGCCCTCCTGCCACCTCCCCACACTGCCCCAGAGGCAAGCCAGCCTGTTCCCAGGTGGCCCCAGGTGTCTTGGCGACCACAGGCAGCTGCTGAACACGAAAGTAGCTAGGGGCCTGATCCTTTCTTTTTTCAGCGGAGCCTGCCCACCTCTCCCATGGCTGGGGAGCGAGCTGACAAATTAATGGCTGAAATGTTCCAAGTTGAAGCCTTGCAAACTAAACTACATTGAGACGTGGTTTAGTTCGTGACGATGCACACACATTTAAAACCCCCAAAACTCGTGTACGTGTAAAGGGTGACGCCATTAAGCCACGCAAAGGGAAATTTTCATCACACGTACATGGTAACATTGACATGTGTACAGGCACTCTTATAAGAGACCACTTAGCAGAAGACAAAGGAGTGGAAGAGAAAGAAGACTATCTGTGGAGTGGAGAGGAAAGGAGGCTGCCCATCTTTGGGACCAAAGAATTTCCACGGCTGCTGCTGCCAAATACAGCATCCATTTTAAAACCTGATTACATTAAAAATGCACAAAGCCTCATCCCTACTAAACTAATGGAACAAGGATTGTGTTACGTGCCAATGAGTGCATTTTCTTAATCCCTATCCTGACCGTCTGCCTTCCACTGTGTTTCAGCTGAAATCAATCCCTGTAATTCTTAAGCCCCTTTGAATTTCCTCATTAACACAGTCTCATCCATGTTTCATGCCACAACGCATGATTTCCTAGAATCCAGGAGCAAAGATTTCTCTTTCCCACTGCCATACTAGCACTGGCCATTGAGGTTGGAGCTGGACACCTATTGGCTCTCCTCTATCACATATCCACACAGGCTGTGGCAGTCCAGCCTGGATGCTTCTGCCACGAGACCACTCTGCACTTGTCTTGGGCTTCTGATTTACCATTGTTCTGTCCCCTCTGCACCTTCCTTCTCTGTCCTACACAACGACTTCTGCCACAGTGACCCACACAACTGAGCCCTGGTGAACTTCGCCCAGATCCCAAGGGATTTCTCTTTTCAGTGCAATAACCACATGTCCAAGGATGGTGAACATGAGGCTCTGGTGATCTCTCCTTTCCATCTCCCAACTCGCCAATATTTCCCTCTGCTGCAGATGGAGGTAATCGATTAAACCTCAGTATATCCAATCTGTGACCATGTAGAAGTGGTTCCTGTAGAAATCTGTGTACGGAGCTCACCCCAACAGTCTCACCACACAAACTAACTCTTTTCCCTCCCAAAGTAGATTGTCAGCATCATCAGATACATGGGTTGAAGGACCACATAGAGGACCAAGAGGGGAAATTTGTTGTGACTGATATCCAACTTCAACAAGATGATATTGTGGAATCATCCCAGGATGTTAGTTAAACATGAATAAAGATGCCATCACAAGGGAGAAAACTAACAGCACATAGGTTTAAAATGTGAGATCAGAGATTTCTAAAGAGACTACATCCACCACTATATGCAGAAAGTTAGATGAATTCAACATGGAAAAAGGCATTCCAGACAGACAGACACAGAGACATATAAGAGATACTCACTGCCTTTGACCTGTCCTCACGGCCTGTGGGTCTTTGCCAATTGAATGATCGGAGAGGCTCTACAGAGAGAATAGAGCAGTCTCTTAAGATGCAATCCCTTGCATGGGATGAAAGTCACATTCAGACACACTCCCCCACCCCACCTTCTTCAAGCAGCAGCACAGCTGAAAGCAGCTCTCTCTGTATCAGATCCAGTAAACACTAAAGCAGCCTAATGCAGCAGGCTGAGGCTTGGCTACACTGCAGAACTGGCTCACACATCTCATTGGTGGGATTTTAGAATAGCCCACCTGATCAGAACATTTTGTTGCATCCTTCATCATCCACCTCCTTGCTAACCTGATCATAAATCCCTTAGTTTCTATTATATTAAAATAGTCTGCTGCTCAGCATATTCTATACATGACAAATGTTTGCAAGAAGAATTCAGATGGGATTCCCCTGTAAACAATCTCTGTTGTTATCAGCCTGATTAAGTTGGAAGAAAGCATCGACCTGCATCATTTTAATAAACTCCTCTGAGGTTTAGGAGAGTTACTGCTCTTAGATCATAGATCATGGAGGTTTTCCACAGATAGCGACTGACGAAGAGGAGATACCGGAGAGTTTAATTAAAGAGCCCAAGTGTCAGCAGGGCCAAATCAAATCTGTTAACAGGGAAAGAAGGCTCCTTATTGGACCTAACATGGTAAATATAGGGAAAAAAATCCACATGACAAGTTACAGATGTGCATTTCCCCTCTGCCCTACTCAGACCTGCTGTTATCTCACATTCTCTCATGTTCCTCTCACCTGACTTTCTCTGCCAACCAAAATTCCCTGCCGTCTCACTCAGCCCCATAGGATTTCACTTGATATTTCTTTTTTGTCTTAGTCCTCATTATTGTTCCAAATCCCCCTCTCCCTCTCTCTCATATGCAGACCAGTGGACTCTTCTATCCCAGACCCTCAGCCCTGAACTGGCAGAAGTGTTAGAATGGCTACAAACAGACATCTCATTTGTCCTGGGATAAACCACTTTATCCCAGAACAAATTGCAGTTGTTTAGACATCCATCTCTATTGTCCTAAGGTAAATCCTAAAAAAGGTTCACAGGATAAGAAGTACTAACAGTTAAAGAGTTATCCCAGGATTGCACCATTAAAACAGCGGCAGAAAATCTGGTCTGCTTTCAGCTGCCCACTAAACCCTGTGCAATGTGTGTACATGCTAATCCAGAGATATTTCTGTATCAGGACAAGCAAAGGCACAACTAGTCTAATGTGACCAGGGACAAATGCAACATTTATTCCTAACCATTGAGAGTGCAATTTATAAAAGCACATGAGGACATGTCTACACAACAGTTAGGCAGTGTGATGGAGCACAGGTAGGCATATCCACACAAAGCCCACTTAGCACTGTCATGATCCAAAAGGCATGATTGTGTGTGTGTGCTTCGGCATCAGAATTATCCACGTTAAGTTGCAGAGCATTGCACGGGAGTTTCCTGTAGCAAGAGGAAACTCCGGTGCAGGGACCAGTTTCCTGCCTTTTCTGCAGCTTCTTTTGCAGAGTGCATTGCTCGAGTTGCAAGAGGAATGCACGGTGCAAAAGAGTTCCCGCCACCGGTATGCAAATTCGTTCCCCGTGATTGGCTAGTGCTAAATTATTCACACGTGGCGGCTAGCGATTGGCCTGTTAGCCGTATAAGAGGCTTGAGCAGTTTCCGCCCAAGCCGAAGAGGACTCCACATCCATCTTGTGGGGACTCTGGGTACACGGCAGGGTAATAGAAACCCTGTGTGAGATCCAGAGGAGCGTGGCGGCCTGATCCACCACCCACCTCTTCCCGTCTTCGAGCGCGACTAATATAAGACGTATTTACGATTTCTACATTGGTGGCCTGTTCACCCAGAGCATCCGGAGCTCTGCACCGTGGAGCCTAGCAACCTCCACGAGACCGTCTGTGTTATGTCTGTCTGTAACTGCAACTTAATCAAGCTTTCCAGCCTACACCACTGCCATCTCGGTGTAAGTAAACAATCTTTTAAACTACCGATACGCGTCCGTGCCTAATTCCAGAGCGAAGGCCTTCCCTCTCCGCCCCCGCGTGCGGAGTGATGAAAATTACCTGTTGTCAAACCATTCAGTTAGCTAGCCTGCTATTTAAGAGCTGAAGCTTGAATGAAACATTATTATTATTATTTAACATTTCTATTGTGAAAGAGCTCAGAAACACTAGTTAAGACTGGGTCACCATTATGTTTGGTAAGCAAATACTACTCTGTTCTTATAAAAAAAAATACACTTGTGAAAACTTCAGGAACATAAAACATATTCTGTTTTCTTCTTTAGCATTAGCCTAAGGATTATTTCTATTATTATGCTCTGTTAATTCATCGTGATGTCAACCGCTTTTTATTTCCCCGGAGTTTCCATCTTCAGATTTTTCCCTAAACATCTCCATGTTTTCTCTTATTCTGTCCTATATGCCTGGACAAAATTCCTGATGAACCTTCTTAGCCCCATTTTGTTCACATTTAGACTCATCCTCTAATGTGATGCATCTAAAGACACTGCTGAAGCACCGTACTAAACCAATAGCCAGAATAGCTGGAATCTCTCAAACAGCTATATAGGAAGGTCATAACTGTACTGAAACCCCTTCATTAATCAGATCAGGAATGTTATTGTCTAGTCCAGTGGTGCTCAAACTTTTTGCCCCATGGGTCAGATCTGCAGTGCCAGGTCTCTTTGCAGGCCTGATCTGGCCAGTGGGCCCATTCTAGCCCATGGAGTGAGCGTGGCTGGGGGTTGACCATGCATGTGGGGCAGGTGCAGGGTAGGCTGATTTGGCATGGAGGGCAAGTGCAGCTGGGGCCCTCTCTAGCCATGCAGCAACAGCTCAGCCCTTGTCTATCTATGTGGGACTTGGAAATCTGGCAGTGGGAGATGTAGCAGTGTTAACTGCCACCAAATTTCCTTACTCAGAGTGAGCTTCACAGATCAGATGCCATGGTTCCATGGACTGGATTTGGCCCACAGACCAAGAGTTCAGCATCTCTGGTCAGTCTGCATCTGTATTTATTATTATTTATTATTTATATTACTAAAGCAGGAAAGGCTCCAGTCAGGATCAGGGTCCCGAAGTGCTAAATGATCAACAGAAGCAGCACATGGGCTCAAGATCTTTCAGTCCAGAGGAATTTTAAAAGGTAGTGGACTATTACAACTGTAAATGTTTCACTATAGCGCCCCTGTTTCCTATCCCTCGTGCGCTCTTGCTCTCTCCACACTCCCTTGTCTTTTGTTTTCTAATCTCTTCTTATACTCTGCTTTCTGTATGTCCTTTCACAGCATCTAGTGAAGTAAACTTGGGTTCAAGAAAGCTTGTGATATATAGTTAATCTATAGAAGTGCATATCTATCCTGCCTTCTGTCTGACTTCAGACTAATAGAGCTAACTACCTCTCTACTACAGAGCACTATACAAATATTGGGATTTTTATTCTTTAGGGCTATGGGTCACATTTGGCACTACAAAGCAACCAGTCTCTTGGGAGCTGAAGAGATATCCTGCAGCTATTGGCAAACCCACTGAGACCCTGTAGAATGAATACCAAGGAAGCTGCAGAGCCAAACTTAAGGCTCTTGCATGCAGGAACCACTCTGTAGAATTGCACCTGTTCACTAGAGATCTGATTTTGTCTTGAAAAAATGAAAGGTGGCACACAATATAGAAGGAGCAGATAGTGCACATGGATGGCTCTAAGGAAATGGAAGATGATTTAATCAGGTCAAGGGAGACCAAAAAAGATTCAAGTAAGTTCAGAAAAGTGATCACTGCCACCCTTTGAACTAAGCAGCACTAAAGAACATCTACAATAGAGCATCAGTTCTAGTCCTTACTCATAGGAAGCAGTTTGACACCACAAAGCACAGCTTTGCCCTCCAAAGGCCAAGTATGCGTGCACACAAAACAAAACAACATAGAGAAAATAACATTTTCATTATTGGAAGTTATACAAGTGGCAATTAATAGCAGAAGGTGCTAAGCTCTGTCTTCAGTTTTTCCTTCTACACCCCATAAAGTAACTTCAACTTTGGGAACAAGGAATGAAATAAAAATGTATTATTATTATTGTTGTTGTAATAATAATAATAATAATAATAATAATAATAATAAAGTTACTCACATTAAGGTTTGTCATGACCCAAAAGGCATGATTGTGTGTGTGCGCTTCGGCATCAGAATTATCCACGTTAAGTTGCAGAGCATTGCATGGGAGTTTCCTGTAGCAAGAGGAAACTCCGGTGCAGGGACCAGTTTCCCGCCTTTTCTGCAGCTTCTTTTGCAGGGTGCATTGCTCATGTTGCAAGAGGAATGCACGGTGCAAAAGAGTTCCCGCCACCGGTATGCAAATTTGTTCCCCGTGATTGGCTAGTGCTAAATTATTCACGATTGGCCTGTTAGCCGTATAAAAGGCTTGAGCAGTTTCCGCCCAAGCCGAAGAGGACTCCACATCCATCTCGTGGGGACTCTGGGTACACGGCAGGGTAATAGAAACCCTGTGTGAGATCCAGAGGAGCGTGGCGGCCTGATCCACCGCCCACCTCTTCCCGTCTTCGAGTGCGACTAATATAAGACGTATTTATGATTTCTACATTGGTGGCCTGTTCACCCAGAGCATCCGGAGCTCTGCACCGTGGAGCCTAGCAACCTCCACGAGACCGTCTGTGTTGTGTCTGTCTGTAACTGCAACTTAATCAAGCTTTCCAGCCTACACCATTGCCATCTCGGTGTAAGTAAACAATCTTTTAAACTACCGATACGCGTCCGTGCCTAATTCCAGAGCGAAGGCCTTCCCTCTCCGCCCCCGCGTGCAGCGCAAAAAAGGGCTCGGGGCGCTCCCGGCCCGCTCAAGCACAGGTATCAATAGCAGTGAATACATGGCAGCATAGATTTTTGGGAAGGTTTCATAAGCTTGCCAGGGGTCCTCAATATGCATTCAAGTCACTACCCAGCACCAAACTCAAGCCACTATATCTTTGTTGCTAACATCAGGCATGCTAGCTAG